ATCATATCCCAATTGCGTGGATCGATGCTCATGATGTCAATCACTGGATTGTCTGGTCCAGACTCGATTATTTACAGACCGCCTTCATATAGATGGAATGTTGCTGAGTGCGGCGTTAAACAACAAATATACAAACAAACAAACATGAAATAAATTAGGTTTAAAAATGTCGTTTCAAGCATTGAAAGGGTAATGTCAAATTGGCTACCTTAACTGAATATGTCAGAGAAATTCATCGCTGAAAATACTTAAAACACCTTCGTCTTGTCAGTTTTCCTCAACTAATTTTAATATCTCATTTCAAAAATAATAATTTACAAATAAAAGATGAACAGCTGAGAATGAATGAGTTGAATGGTTTGCCAAATATACTTTTGTACAAAAGATTATGCGAGTATTTATATCAGAGAGGTCAATACTTTTTACAACAGGAATAAGCGAGTGCTGCTTTTCCGCCAACCATCAATTTTACTATACGATGTGGTAAGAATAAGAGTTATCGTTCTTGTTTGAAGTAGTTGGGTGGCATTCCATTCGTGACCAACTCGTGTTATTCCGGGACAAGCCGAATAGCGTCTTCTTGCAGGTCACGGAAAGGGGCGAGTGATGATGATTGGTCGGGTGGGGGACGAATCTTCATTCGGCTTGTCCCGGAATAACACGAGTTGGTCACGAATGGAATGAACAGAAAGTAGGATTTACCTGTTACGTGGGCAGGCCAGAGGCATTCCATCTGCTCGTTCTTCACGTTTTACCAGGTAAACAATACAAATAGAGCCGATTTTTGCACAAACAACCTTCATTTACTCACTTTTCTGTTTAGTAAATACAGACACAAATAGATATACGCCTTTGCTATAACCATACTACAACACTACTGCTACTACAACTACTACTACTTCTACTACTACTACTACTACTACTACTACTACTACTACTATTACTACTACTACTACTACTACTACTACTACTGCTACTACTACTACTACTATTACCACTACTACTGCTACTACTACTACTACTGCACACAATTGATACTTCTACTACTGTTACGACTACTATTGCTACTACTACCACTACAGTTGCTACTACTACTAGTACTACTACTACTACTACTGCTACTACTGCACACAATTGATACTTCTACTACTGTTACCACTACTACTATTACTGCTACTACTACTACCACTACTGTTGCTACTACTACTACTGCTACTACTACTACCACTGCAACTACCACTGCCACTAACACTAATAATGTTGCTGTTGTTGCTTCTATTACCGGTACCACGACTATTACTATTGTTGCTACTACTACTACTACTACTTCTACTACTACTACTACTACTAGTAGTAGTAGTTTGAATATCAACGTAGTCTCACTATGTTGTTGATATGTGATTAGAAATACTTCAATACATCTCTTAGACATGGTGGATATGGCATTCCTTCATAATTTTATTGTAATTAATTCAAATAAAATGTGTGTCCTATTTGTGAACGCTGCCCATGATATGCATGGACAGATTCAATCATGAAATAAATTCACCCGTGAAGATCCAGGGTAGAATAGGTCTTCAGCAACCCATTCTTGTCGTAAAAGGCGACTATGCTTGTCATAAAAGGCGACTAACGGGATCAGGTGGTCAGGCTCGCTTGTTGATGGATGTCATCATATCCCAATTGCGTGGATCGATGCACATGATGTCAATCATTGGATTGTCTGGTCCAGACTCGATTATTTACAGACCGCCTTCATATAGATGGAATGTTGCTGAGTGCGGCGTTAAACAACAAATAAACAAACAAACAAACATGAAATAACTAAGGTTTAAAAATGTCGTTTCAAGCATTGAAAGGGCAATGTCAAATTGGCTACCTTAACTGAATATGTCAGAGAAATTCATCGCTGAAAAAATACTTAAAAAACCTTCGTCTTGTCAGTTTTCCTCAACTAATTTTAATATCTCATTTCAAAAATAATAATTTACAAATAAAAGATGAACAGCTGAGAATGAATGAGTTGAATGGTTTGCCAAATATACTTTTGTACAAAAGATTATACGAGTATTTATATCAGAGAGGTCAATACTTTTTACAACAGGAATAAGCGAGTGCTGCTATACCGCCAACCATCAACTTTACTATACGATGTGGTAAGAATAAGAGTTATCGTTCTTGTTTGAAGTAGTTGGGTGGCATTCCATTCGTGACCAACTCGTGTTATTCCGGGACAAGCCGAATAGCGTCTTCTTGAAGATCACGGAAAGGGGCGAGTGATGACGATTGGTGGGGTGGGGGACGAATCTTCATTCGGCTTGTCCCGGAATAACACGAGTTGGTCACGAATGGAATGAACAGAAAGTAGGAATTACCTGTTACGTGGGCAGGCCAGAGGCATTCCATCTGCTCGTTCTTCACGTTTTACCAGGTAAACAATACAAATAGTGCTGATTTTTGCACAAACAACCTTCATTTACTCACTTTTCTGTTTAGTAAATACAGACACAAATTGAAATAAAATCTCTACAAAAGGAGATTGAAGGATTTACACTTAGAAACAGGCGATGCCACTCTTCATTCTTAGACATAAGGATTCTATTTGACAATCTAAAAAGGAAAACCGGAGTTCACACTGATTTTAGATATAACCAAAGATGAATATGGATATACGCCTTTGCTATAACCATACTACAAGACTACTGATACTACTACTACTACTACTACTACTACTACTACTACTACTACTACTACCACTACTACTATTACTACTACTACCACACTACTGATACTGATACTACTACACACAATTAATACTACTACTACTACTACTGCTGCTGCTGCTACTACTACTACTACAACTACTACTGCTGCTGCTTCTACTATTAACACTGCAACTACTACTACTACTACTACTACTACTACTATTCCTGCTACTGCTACTGTTCCTATTACTACTACTGTTGCTGCTGACACTACTACTGCTACTGTTGCTACTGATACTACTACTATTACTACTGGTACCACTGTCACTAACAGTACTACTATTGCTTCTGCTACTACTTCTACTACTACAACCACCACCACCAATACAACTACTCCTACTACCACTACCACTACTACTATTGCTGCTGTTGCTACTAGTACTAGTACTACTACTGATGCTACTACTACTTGTACTACTACTACTACCATTGTCACTACCACTACTACTATTGCTGCTGCTGTTACTACTACTATAGCTACTACTGCTACTACTACTACTACTACTATTCCTGCTACTACTACTACTACTACTACTATTGCTGCCGTTGCTAGTACTACTACCACTGTCATTACCACTACTAGAATTGCTACTACTTCTACTAGAACTACTACTACTACTACTACTACTACTACGACTACCACTACCACTACCAGTACTACTATTGCTTCTGCTACTACTTCTACTACTACTACCACCAACACCAATACAACTACTACTACTACCACTACCACTACTGCTATTGCTGCTGTTGCTACTAGTACTAGTACTACTACTGATGCTACTACTACTTGTACTACTACTACTACCATTGTCACTACCACTACTACTATTGCTGCTGCTGCTACTACTACTATAGCTACTACTGCTACTACTACTACTATTCCTGCTACTACTACTACTGTCACTACTACTACTACTATTGATGCTGTTGCTAGTACTACTACCACTGTCAGTACCACTACTAGTATTGCCACTACTACTACTACTACTACAACTACTACTGCTGCTGCTTCTACTATTAACACTGCAACTACTACTACTACTACTACTACTACTACTACTGCTACTATTGCTGCTACTGCTACTGTTCCTATTACTACTA